AAAATTCGCTTCCTTCAGTCCGAGAGACCTCGTCGGTGTCCTCCGCGGATGTCGGTTCGGTGTCAGTCCTTGAAGGAGTGAGGCTGCTGTCTGAGCCCATTGTTCTCTCGGAATTTCCGTCCCCCGCCTCGAGGCTGAGGCTTTGCTCCGCGCCGGTGGTTCCGGTTCCAGTGGACCGCACGTCGTCGTTTTCAGTGGCAGGCTCAGTGCTTTGTTGCACTTGGTGCCCACTGTCAACTGTTTCGGTGGCCGTATCCATATCCGATGATGCACCCACTGAAGACGTTGATCCGCCACTCCTGTCATCCGCTTCTTCCTCCTCCTCTGGCATTTCTTCATCATAACTTCCAGAGGACATTTCAACATCGGTAACCTCCGTTAATTCCGCTGGCTGTGGGTCTTGTGGCTGCAAGTCTGAACCCCGTTGCATCGATTTATTCTCTTCACTCAGCGTGGCTTGCTGGGCCGTTTTGCCCTGGTGAAACTGGGCATTGTCATCTGGACGATCATTCCCTGCGCTCTCCGCTGCGATGGCAGGTTCAGGAACAGATGATCCCGCGACAACCGGGGAAGGAAGCGCTGCAGGCACCGGATCATCGACGCCGTTTCTTCCTCGTTGTTTTTCAGGATCATCCTCATTCAATTTCGCATAGCTGGCGGTGATTTCTTCACTCTTTGACTCGGAAGCAACCGAAACGTCTGTGCTGGTCACCTGTCCTGTGGGTTGTTTCTCAGCGCCAAGTGATGGAACAGTGACTTTGCTGGCTTTGAGTTTATGCAGCTCATTATTATACAGATCGTCGTTGTACAGCATGACGTTGGTCACCGTCACATGGCCGCCCGTTGCACTTTGGTCATTACTGTCCCCACCGATGTAGAAGTGTGAGATCCTGTGCAAGTCGAACAGATGCTTATTATAGCGCTTGCGGTCAATTTCCCTCTGATCCACAAAGACAGTCCATTCATCAAGAGTCATTCGCAGTACCACCTGATACGTTGTGTGTGGCTCCCACCCAAAAAGATCCTCCACATTACCAGAATTCCCAGATATGGCCAGATATGGCCAGCCACTTCCTGTCATGGGTGTACGACAGACCAAAAAGCACCTTGCTGCTGGTGTCATTCATCCTCACGCCAATCAAAGGAATGGGGCTGCTGTCCTCCTTCGGCACCTCGTGGATGGACACCGTCGCCACAAGAGTGAACTTGTTGTTCGCAAAGTAGTACGGCACAGTCTGCCCCATGTCGCCAACAGGCCACTCCGCCCATGATCCGGGTCCTTTGAACGTCAATCCATTGGGAACCCCTATCCTTTTTTCCGCTGGGCCATGGACTGTTGCATTCACGCCGAGGTACTCGTCTCGCCACTCGGTCCCAGTTGAGTTACCGGACAAGAAGCCAACAAGCCTCTCAGTGGGAACAGGACCATTGCACATGCCCTTTGTTGCCACCGAGTCAACAGTGCCACTGGAACTGGAACTGCATGATTCAAAGGCGCTGTCCAAATCCTTCCATGTCTTCACCACTTCCTTTATCCGCTCCAGTTTCTCGGTCAGACGCACAGCAACAAGATTGTATGATCCGTCGCTCTTCTTTTTCTCGTACACTGAGATCAACTCCTTATTATTATCTTTCATCAACAGCGAGCTGGCGGCGGCGTCATCATTTTCACGGGATACCGGCCCAACATCATACACACGTGCCTTGTCCGTCACCCAAAGATGGAGCCGACCCTTTCCACATTTATTTTCCTCCTTCGGATACACCGGCGCGGTGACGAGCATCACCTTCTTTTCCTCAATGATTGCGGTGGTGAATCCACTCTGGACGCCGTCCCCTGTTCGATTGTGTGAGTTGCCCCACACGCGGGTAATTGGCTCACCCGACGTGTACCAATTGCCTCCATCCTGAGTGGACCTGTAAACGTCATAGTAGCCTCCAGCACAATGAGCCATCATGAAGAGCCTTTCGTCGTCCTCGTCTTCTTCCCACCTCACCAGGGTTGGATCCCTGCAGCCGTTACCAGGCGTCTCGAGTGAAAGCTCCCACTTGTTCCCTGACTTGGGGAAATGCATAGACAGTAAAAAGCTCGTTCCATCCTTGTCTTTGGCCTGCATGGGAAACACAACCGTGCCGTCACGCAAAACAGCACCCGATCCTCCGCCACCCACAAACTCGGTCAAGGAAAGAGATGCTCCTCTGCCTTGAGGGTTCACCACATGGGTCTCATTCCATTTGATTTCCTTCTTTCCACCCTCATCAGCGAGAGTTCCCTTCAAAAGTAAAAGGCCCCGCTCATTCGTACCCCCAACCTGCGGCCTTGTATGGCTGTAGTTTCCCAGGAGCACGTAAACGCTTTCCCCAAGTACAAGTGTCGTTGGTCGCGTTATGCCGTTTCTGGCGCCGATACCCTCAGACCCTTCCTTTAGAAGATCTGCGCCAAAGATACTCGCATCTGCCGTCAAGATCTCCGTTGGATCAGCAACACCACTTAAATCAAGGTACTTTGACGCAATCCCAGTAAAGCTGACGTCGCTGCATTCGCCTCCATCCCTGCAATGGACTTCAGCAATAGCAAATACATGACCCTGCAGATCAACGAGACTGGGACCACGAAGCGAGCCATATTTACCACCAGCGCCAGAAACATCCTCCCAGTTGTCAAGCTTTTCCCATCCAATCCCCCTCAACGCATCAACTGCCTTCTTTACATTACTCCCCCCCCCAGCAGAAGCAGCTCCACCAATCCCACAGCACGTCATCACGAAAAGAAGAAGCAGCACCGCGGAAGTAAACACACGCCGCGACATGTTGGGCCTCTGCGGCTCACTCTCTCTTCCTTCCCTCCTCCTTCCGCTGGATCCGGTCACGCCGCGACGGTTGTGTGTGCGGGGTGCCTTCACTGCAGCAACACGTGAGAGCATATAAATATGTGTGGGTCAACTGTTGTGTTGTTGGTCCTTTCAGCGCCCTAAAATTTCACAGTGGTAATTATCGCTTGCCTTCCTTCTTTCCTAGCGTGTGTCTGTGTGCATGCGGTAAGGACAACGACAGCAACAGCGGCGGCAATACAGCTGACACGTCAGTGGGGAGCAGAGCACCCATGCGGAGAGCGGGACACAAGGCAATCCGGAAGGGACGACATGAAGAAACATCGCCCACAGAAGAGAGCAATATCACAGCAAATCAAGGCGGAACCCACCACACACAGAGATGCAAAAGGACTCGTCAAGATAGCCACTTTCTAGTGGATCTCCCTCCCCAATCCTCCCCTGTGGGCAGCACCGCTACCGCCCCTCTTTGCGTTCCCTTACAAAGCCAAAATATACGCATGCGCACTCCTCCCACATATTTGCGCAAACGTGTGACATTAAATACAATTACACATAAGCGCCACCCCCTCCCCCCATCTCGGAAAAAAAAAACAAAAAAAAAAACCGAAAAATCCCTCTTTACCCTCCGTAACCGCCAATTTTTGTTGCTTCCTTCTCTTTCTACTTCTATCACTACTGATACTGCTATATATATATATATATATATAAGTAAATGATGCTAATTCCAATTCCGCACAATTTTGCCGTCCCAGTTCAGTTTATCGCCCTTTTGCATTGTGTAATATCGGTGTGTCTTCCAGCGACGCCACGGTGAGCCCGATTTCCCCCAATGTGGATTTGCCTCCCAGTACCTCTCAATGCGCTCCTCCAACATGGGTGTAAAATGTCGTGCGAGTCCCTGCACAGGCCATGCTGCTGCCGTTGCCAGCGCACAAATAGTACGACCCTCCAACTGCTTCGAGACGTCAAGCATGGTACCAATTTCTTCCTTCTTGGCATTACCGTGAACAAAGCGCCGCATCATCTTTTCTAACCACGGGGAGCCCTCACGGCATGGAGTGCACTGCCCGCAGGACTCATTTGCATAAAACTTGGAAATGCGGTGGATTGCGGCAATAAGATCCGTTGATTTGTCCATGACAATCACTGCAGCGGTGCCGAGTCCTGTCTGGACCTCCTTAAGTGAGTCATAGTCCATGAGAACATTATCGCAGATGCTCTTTGGAATGAGCGGACAGGAAGAGCCGCCGGGAATGACGGCAAGAAGATTGTCCCATCCGCCTCGAACCCCACCGGCGTGACGCTCAATGAGATCACGCAACGGGATGCTCATCTCATCCTCCACCGTACATGGACGATTCACGTGGCCACAGATGCAGAAAAGCTTCACACCCGCATTGTTCTTGCGACCAAACGAGGAGAACCACTGCGGTCCACGGCGAAGAATCGTCGGTGAAACAGACACGGTCTCCGCATTTGTCACGGTGGTGGGGCAACCGTAGAGACCAACATTCGCTGGAAATGGCGGCTTTAGTCGCGGTTTCCCGGGCCCGCCTTCAAGACTCGATATCATCGCCGTCTCTTCACCACAAATGTACGCACCGGCTCCACGATACGTGTATAAATCAAAGTCATATCCGCTCCCACATGCATTGCGGCCCAAATACCCCTTTGCGTATGCCTCTTGAATCGCCCTCTCCACGCTGCGCCACTCATTGTAGAACTCTCCACGGATGTAGATGAATCCATACCTTGCACGCATCGCAAATCCAGCAATGAGGGCACCTTCCACTAATTTATGAGGTTCATGCCGCATAATCTCGCGATCCTTGCACGTCCCCGGCTCGGACTCGTCACCGTTAACGACCAGATAACTTGGACGCCCGTCGGGCTTCACTTTAGGCATGAAAGACCACTTGAGCCCGGATGGAAAACCCGCGCCACCTCGACCCCGCAATCCGCTTGCCTTCATCTCCGCAATCACCCAATCGTGGCCTTTCAGCAAAAGATCCTTCGTACGGTACCAATCACCTCGCCTCTCCGCGCTGGTAATATCAGTGCCAAAGTCATTGTACAAATTCAAAAATATGCGGTCTTGGTCTTTTAAACCACCGTGTGTCTTTTCCAACAACGATACCGTTAAGGAAAAAAAACCCGCAGCACGACGAAGCATCGATAAAAATCCTAAACAAAAGA